TGCTTTGTATTAATGCCAAAAGAAAAGGCAAGAGAACAAACAATAGAACACACATCTTCTGCCTTACTGCTACAGTAACATCCTACCGACAACGCCAAATTTGTGGCGAGGGGGGTGAAAAGTTACGTGACTATTATTAAGGAGGAAAAAGCTCGACAACTCCACCCTGGGAATTTCACCCAGGGAATTGCTCAAACACAAGGCACAAAGGTTCGTGGTTACTGGAGGGCAATTTGAAAATCTTCAATGAAGTAGCATGTTACAGACGTGAATGAGGTTGTAGACCTTGATGTCCAACAGTCAGTTGTTAGGCAAACTGCTGACACTTTGGACACCCGTCTCCTGAGTGATACTGCTTCTCTTTCATACATGTCTGACACTTTCTGGGTCAGTACGCTCCGACATGTAGGAATGTAGGTGTGATGATTTAAACCGGTAATGACCCAAATGCAACACAGCTCAGAACTGCCCTTCCTTCTTTCCTGAAGTCTTCACAACATTTCTTTCCTTAATTTCAACCACTTGAGCTTCTGTTCTGTCTTCACTCTCTTCCTTTTTATCACCTTCATCGTCATCTTACACACTACCATCCGATGTTATTTTCTCTCTATCTCTCTTAGATAGCATTTGGATGTGACGCTGTGCACGTTCACTCAGCTTCTATGGACGTCCAACACAAGCCCAGTTGTGAGTAGTGATGGGACGAGCGACACTGGTGCATCAGCACTGTGCCGAGAGCTCAAGAGGGAAACCTCGTATCGGTGCGTGTATTGCTTTAAGAAAGAATCACGTGACCGATACAGGAACTGTATCGTTTGGATGTGCCGCGCCAAAGTGTGTTTATCAGGAAACAAACTGTATCAACATGTCGTGGGTTTGTCGGATGGAGTTTTGCTTGATCATGGATCGTTCTAGGAAGTTTTCCCCGGTGTGGAATAATTTTGATCTCGTGACGCCAAACAAGGTAAATCTTTTTCTCCTTTATATACTATTTTTTACGGTGGCGCATTGCACTCACTTTATCAGTTTATCAAGTGAATGACCTGTGATACATATGATAGTCAGTTAAAGAGCCTTACAGTTGCTTTATTCATGTTATCATGTAATTATGAGATCCTGATCTCGTAATCATGAGATAGGGTGTCTATTTTTTTAACAAGTGAATGCAATGTTCTGGTAAGAGGTTTGAATTGTTTTCAGATAAATTAACTTTTTATGTTATTGTAGGTGAAGTGTCGGCTCTGCTCCACAGAGCTATCTTATATCAATAAGAGCACTTCATCAATGCTGAGGCATTATAGAGCTCGGCATGGCAATGAAGAATTGGCTGATACTCGTGAGAGTACCCCAGGTATGTTGAAATTCTCTCTAAAAATCGTGCTAAAAAAAAATCATGCATGCAAACAGGCTCCAGGACTAGTATCGAACCTCCAACCCTCTTGATGTGAGGCGACAGTGCTAACCACTACA